GAAAAATGTTTGGGGTCAGCCCTGAGCCTGGAACTGGAAGGGTACTTGATGGCAATCCAGCTTGAGGATGATGGCTGATTCCTCATAGGAGTAACCTGGACTCTTGAAGCCTCTTTCCTACGTTTGGTCAGCACACTGGATAGCTCCTTCTAAAATATGGACTAAAACTCGGGCCGGATTTACTGCCCCAATGGAATCGGAGTCACCAGCCTCTTCTGAAGCAAGAACTACCTACGTGTCTTGGCATCAAGAGAGCAGAGCCAGTTGCCAACCCACATCCGAGGCTGACAGAGTTCCTTTTCTTGGGACAACCCCGCCACCACCCGAATCCCGCAGTGAGGTGAAGATCGGTCATAGCAGTGAACGATTCGCTTTTAAGACGAACGTTCATTCTAATGGAAGATGGATCATAAAAGGGAGAAGAAGCAGCTGAGCTTAGGAAAAGCAGCTGAGTCTGACTCCAACTCCCAACATCCCCAGCTAGTTTTGCTTTGCGGTGCTAAACTGTAATGCTCCCAGGCTCTGGATTTTAAATGAAGCTTAGGAGCCCTCTATGCTTATTGGGTGGAAAGGCTAAGACTGCGGCCCCGTAAGACGTATTTGGATGCAAATGTCTTTAAACTCAGCCAGACTGGCTTCCTCTTGAGTCACCATGTGGAAAACTGCTTTGCATACGATCCAGTCACTCAAGTGGTGTTGCCTTTACTTCCCTGTCACACCTAACAGATGGCCTTTGACAGGGTGAAGGGAGGCGTCGGGACCCTTCGGCCGATCCCTCATGCCCGCCTTTGGTCCAGGGCCAGGGCTTCCCGGCGCTGAATTATTTAATTCCCTTAATGTGCGCTGGGCACTTTGATTCCCTGGCCTGCCTACTCTGTAGCTCAGATTCCACCCTGGCAAAGCAAGCGCCGGGTGGTAAGTGAGACGAAGCCTCCAAGGGCTTTTCCAAGCAGAGTGAGCTCAGCGCCGTCTCTCTGTGACCTTCCTCAGGACTAGTGTCTTGTGTCTCTCCTGGGGTTCTCCGGCGGTTTCGGGATACGGCCGGGGGAAAACGGCGGTTCAGCCAAGAGCCCTCTTGTGTCAAGCAGGATCGGGTGGAAAATCAGAATAATATTTTCCAAAATGCTTGAAATATCATCATTTTTGCATCGGTAAAGTGGGATTGTATTTTGACCCCCATTTCGCACAAGGACAAGGCTGAGTGGCTTCTCAAGTGGGGGTGGAAGCAGGATTCGAACACAGGGCTCTCCTGATATTTCATGATATTTCACTCTTTCATTAAAAGCCTTTTTTTTGCATTCTCCACTATCTGACCCTTAAGAAACCTTGAGAGTATGTTGGCAGGAAAGATGACCCCGGAGATCTTTGACATGGGTTCTGTACGGCATCACTTCATAGACGTGGCTATGGGATGCTTGTGAACACGTGAAAACGTGCAAGAAGCAATGCCTCCTCGGTCTGTGCTAGGATAGCACTCCTCTAAGCAGCTTGAATGTGTTGGCAATTTCTGGGTTTATGCTTTCAAACTGATGGAGAAGCCCAAGATGTTCTTCCTGGATTCTCCTTTCATCGTCATGAGAAATGGAAGGCGTGTGCAGTGTGAATGCCTGTATGTTTATGTACAGAAATTGGGGATGATGGGCCCCGGAATCCTTCTGGAAAGACCTGGCCCCTCTCTCATGGTATCTCGGAGCTGGAAGGGTCAGTCCCTGCTTAGTGACCAGGAGGAGGTGGGGGGGTAACACCTGCAGCTTGTTCTGCAGGATGATGGCTAGGCCGGTTGGTTCCCTGCTTACCCTGTTGATTGGTAAAATGGTTCCAGTTGTGAGAGAGGGGAGGTGGGCAGGCCTGGGCTCTCTTGTGCTTCAGCGTTTGGGGGAAGCTTGTATAGAGGATCATCTGGAAGGAACTAGGATTTGGATCTTTAATGGCTGAAAAGGGGGCTCAGAAGTTTCTTCTGTTGCCTTTGCTTGGCGCTCAGGAGAAGCTGCCCCCCCACCGGTTTTCCTGCTGCAGGGAGCGGACTCTGCACATGCCTCAGAACCATGCTGGCTTCTGCCTGTGAGGTATGAGAAACTTTTTGAGGCTTTCTTCTTTTTGTCTCTCTAATACAGTGTAAAAACTTCTAGGTTTTGGGGATCTGTGGGGCTGGCATCCAGACCGTGCCTGGGGCCACCGGCTGAGAGCTTTCGGATCGTTTGTGGGTGCTGTGGCAGGCCTACCTTGCAAGGGAGCAGGTGGCTGGCGGCCATATTGGTTCAGAACGCCCAGCCTTATGGGTTTCGGACTCCCCGGAAGTCCTGCCGAGCCTAAGATGTCTGGGGTGTTGGGAATGGCTGGGTGGCTCCGGGATTGAAGTCTCCAGCTGGGGACCACCAGGCCTCCTTTAATGGGCTGGACTGGATGATCTAGAGGGTCCCTTCCAGCCCTAGAGTTCTAAGTTGATGATGAGTTGCGGGGCCCAGGCTGGTTCCATCATCCTAACCAGAAACCCCATTCTCCTGGGTTCATCTGCTCTGGTGCTAGCCGGGTGCTGTGGTTGAGTGGTTATAGAAGCCCCCCCCCCCCCCCCACTTTAATGGGCTGGACTGGATGATCCAGAGGGTCCCTTCCAGCCCTAGAGTTCTAAGTTGATGATGAGTTGCGGGGCCCAGGCTGGTTCCATCATCCTAACCAGAAACCCCATTCTCCTGGGTTCATCTGCTCTGGTGCTAGCCGGGTGCTGTGGTTGAGTGGTTATAGAAGCCCCCCCCCCCCCCCCNGCAGCCGAGCGGAAGAGAAAGGCCAGCCTTAGGCAAGGCAGGAGAAATGTATTCCGTTTCCCAATTGATTATATTTAAGAACAATGAGGGAAGGATCAGAAACAACCAGTCTGTTGTTTAATTGCTTTTCATAAAAATAAATGAACGAAATGACAAATTGGGTCACTAAAGCTTTCTTCACCAGGAACTGGAATCTTACGAGCGAGACTCCAAAACAGATAGCAGGTGAAAAGTTGGCTGCAACGCCCATCAACCCTGTTCAGCAAAGCGAGAGGGTGAGGGTTCATGGGATTTGTAGTCCAGGGATATTGAGATGGACATGTTTTGCACTCAGCTGCTGCAATAACCTTCACCTATTCTGCAGCGACTCGCTCCCTGCTTCAAGTCTCCAGGGAAGGAGCCCTAGATCTGTGATAAAATGGATTATTTTATGCGGAGTGTTGCAGGATCTGTCCCCGGTCGCTGATTGTCCCAGAATCCTGGAGAGGCCCTCTCAGGCAAGGTTGACGGAACTGTGCTCGGAAGACTGAGGGATAGGATTAGGAAGCTCAATACAGAGACGCTGATTCCGTCTATAGAAACGGTGGTCCCTTAAGGCAGAAAGCCTGACTTTGTATCTGAACCCAAACTTCCTTCCACCTGCAATGGGCCAGTGGGTGTGCTTTTGTTTTGTGACCGAGTGGTTTGGGGGAATAACCCCATCTTTATTTCCGTGTCTGGTATCTTGGGCCCAGATGCACTGAAAGATTTGCGTGTCCGGTGGGACAGCCTTCTGCTTGCTCACCTGAATGGGCAGAAGGCGGCTTTTGAGTGCCGTGCCCCAAATGGCTGGGGGGGGGCTTTTTGCAAAAAAGGACGACAGACCCGACTCTTCCAAAACTTGGCCGTTTTGCCCTGTGGTGGTCCTGAGACCTTCCACCCGAGGCAGGCGGATTGTTTCCCTCCCCCCTGCCGAAGTGGACATTCCCGGCTCTGCCAAGTTTGCTTTCCACCTCTCCCGTCATGCTGAAGCCGGGAAGTGCCTCTCAGGCCCGCATCTCTCCGCCCGAGGCACCTTCCATTACACTTGCGAGTGCTTTCCCATTTAATAACCACTTAATATCTTAATAAACTTTTATTGAATGCATTAAAGGGAGAAGCTGAGGAACACTCAATGTTCAGCCTGCTCGTCGGCTAAAGCTTCTTCAGTGAGTGCTCTTTAATCGGTTCGAGCTATAATTTATTCACACTGGAAAAGGCTTGTGTGAGAGGAGAGGCGAAAGTGGCCGTGGGGGCCTGCCTTGGCCGAGAGCCGAGCTTCCCTCTCCACGAAACTTCATTTGTTCTATCCAGGGAGAAACCAGAGAGGAGGGGTTGCAAGCAGAAGGTGGTGGCTCCAAGGGTTCATGTTCCGAGTTTTGCTCCAAACTTTACAGGGGCTATCAAAGGCTCTGAGTGCCATGCCTGGAGTAGGTTCCTCACCTTGGGTGTGGATCCTTTGGAGTTTCAGTCTAAAAGCCAGAAACAGATGGGCTGGCTCCCTGCAGTGTCAGATCCAACAGCCACTGCCCCTTGCTTTGCCTCAGGCGGCAGAATGGCCTGGGTCAGCCCTGTAGATAGGATCCAGATGGGAAGTGTAGGGATCTTAAAAGAGTTTGGCCTCTGCTAGGCCATAAGGAAGGCTTGCTGTCTGTGTTGGATGGCATGGTTATCTTCACTGCTCTTAGAACATCGGCCCTGTGAGGTAGGCCAGGTCGAGACACAAAGAGAGCGTGAGTCAATGAGTCAGTGACTGGCCCAAAGCGAAGCTGCATCTCCAGAATCCCACACTAGCGTTCCAGCCGTTACACCACTCTTAGGAAGAGGTGGGCCACCAAGGAGCATGGGGGAGAGTCAGGAACTACGTTTGCCAGCCCCTGTCCCTTTTAAACGCTCAGCATGCAGAAATCCGGACTGCCACCACCCTTCCTTAATTCCTTGCTCCCAGGTTGAGAAAGACAGCCAACACAGCATAGGGCAATGATGGCGAACCTATGCCACGCGTGCCACAGCGGGCACACAGACCCCTCTCTATCGTCATGCGAGCCATAAAAACAGCCAACACAGCATAGGGCAGTGATGGCGAACCTATGGCACGCGTGCCACAGCGGGCACACAAACCCCTCTCTATCGTCATGCGAGCCATAAGTTGCCGTAGAGAAATACTTATCCGTCCTCAAATCCCAGATTTTGGCACTCCTCTCTGCTGTTGCCGTGGTCCAGCGGAGGGGCGCAATAGGGGCCATGACCGGTCTAGCCCAATGGGGGATTGGAGGACCAGTAAGTATTCGTTAATACCACCTATTGGGGGGGGGGAACCCCAAGCAGGAGCAGTTGTCTTTTCTAAACTAAAACATTAATACCACCCATGGGGGGGGGGAACCCCAAGCAGTTGTTTTTTCTAAACTAAAATCTCAGCATTTGGGTTTTAATTGCAGCGTTGGAACTTTGAAATAAATGAGTTGATTTTGTGTTGCAGTTTGGGCCCTCGGATTCAAAAAGGCTCACCCTCACTGGTATAGGCTCTCGAGTCCAGTTTCTTTAGGGTGGCAAAGACACCGCTGTGGGTTTCGTCAGAACTTTTAAAGGATCCACTGGAGAGGATGAGCTGGTTTTGGTGACCAGGTTCAGCACTTCGGAAAGCTGTTCAGTTCAAGCTTTAACAACCCCCCAAGTGGATTCCTAACGTCCATGAAATCAGAATCACATCCCCTCTCTCCGTAAACATGCTTACTTGTGAGAAACCCTCCTTGCTCCCTTTACTGGCTTACTTCTGCCTGCCTTTCCATTTTATGTCTGTTTCTATGTTGCAGTGAAGTACATTTCGCTCTCTGTCTCTCTCTCTTTATTTTAATATTTCATAAGCTGTCTTGGAAGTCTGGTGGAGAGGAAAGTGGCCTCTTATTTTTTTTTTTAAGGAATTAATTAACACATTTCTCTCCCACCTCCATCCGGTACTGGGGACACAGTATAAGAATCCTCAAAGGTGACATATATTCAGGGTGCCGTGGTGGTGGTGAAGTTGAAAAGGAGGATGAATCTGGGAAATAGGGTGAAGTTCTAATCAACCTGCATTTTGGAAATTAATTCCGGTGTGACCAGGAACCGCACAGTAGAAAAGTTTGGAGAAAAAAAAGCTTATTTTGGAAGTGTCAGCAGGTCCATTCCGATTTACAGCGGTCCTGCGAATGAGCCATCTCCAAAAGGCCCCGTCCTTGCTCAGCTCTTGCAGACTCAAGCCTATTGGCTTTCTTTAGGGAATCGGTCCATTTTGTATTGGGTCTTCCTCTTTTCCTGCTGCCTTCCACCTTTCCAGGCATGACGGTCTCTTCCAGAGAATCTGGTCTTCTCAGGATGTGCTCAAAGGAGGACAGCTTCCGTTTCAACATGTTGCCTCTAGAAAGAGAGTTCAGGCTTGATTTGATCTAGGACCCACTTGTCCTTCTTTCTGTCCATCCGGCATCCCTACAAAACTCTCATATAGCACCACTTTTCAAATGAATCATTTTCCCCCCTGTCATCTTTCTGGAGTATCCAGCTTTCACACCCGTGTATGGTGATGGGAAAGACAAAGAGTGTGGATAACCTTTTGCTTCTTGCTTGTCCTTTACCATTTTAAGTATTTCTCCTGTCATCCATCTATGTTTTGCAAAACACTCATGTTAGGTTGTGAAAAACAGAAATACTAAACAATATAAAGGCACATGTTTATTAAATGTGTGACAGAGTATGGTCAGCTTACACTTATTTCTCGCATCCTTGTGCCTTCCTCCAAAGATCCATGAATGGTGAGCCTGTACTTGGTTTTCGTCTCCAGGGTCACATCCTGACCCTTGATTATCTTTTCTAGTTCCTTCCTGGTTGCCTTTACAAGTCTCCGTTCTCTTCTTATCTCTTGTCTACCGTCTCTATTTGAATTCATGATTGAACCAAGGCGGGTTCTGTAACTTCCCAAATTTTCCACAGTTTGCATCTGTGATACAACCTCCCCCAAAAAGAAACCACCTCTCAGCAATGTTGCAAAAAAGCAAATGGAATTAAAATTTCCGGGCCAAGAAGAGGACTCGTCCTTTGGGGAAAGGGAGGCAGACCCGTAGATGTTTGAATTGAGTCTCCCCGAGGCAAGGCAATTCTCGGGAACAAGCTATCGCCGCTTTTTGAAAACGATCGTACATATTTATTGCATTTATTAGGGGAGGTTTATGATCGTCTTCGCTTTTGGGCAGACCACATTACAGACAAAAAGCTAGGTGCCCGGTTACGGTATTGATTTCTCTCTTTCCATC